GCCTTTGAGTACCACCCTCCGGATGCCCTCAACACCTTTCCACACCTTCACTGCTTCCTCTTGTCCTGGAAAACTGAAACTCATCCTTCAAGACTCCACCCAGAAGTCCCTTCCTCCTGGAAGCTTTCCCTGACCTCCCAAGTTGGCCTTGGTGGATGCCCGGGTAGTCCTTCAAACTTCCGTAGCAATGGGCACACCACGCACGAGAATACCTACCGCATGGAATCATGACCATCTTTTTTATTACCTGTCTCCACAACTAGAGCGTGAGTGAGGAACTATGTCACTTTCACCTCTGCGTTCCCACATACCTGGCCCATGGAGGTCCCAAAAGTTTCTATCTTATAGCATGGTCATCTGTGTTGAGCTCCTGTCTTTGCTGGCATACTCTCTCCACAATGACCCTTGCGGAAATGGCCTTCTCTTTTCTGGTCTCCAGATCTCTTTTCCTCACCCTGTCTGTGCTCTTCCTCATTTCCCATCTCCTTGCCCAATAACAGTCATGTTGACTTAAACTGAAGCTTTCAATATTTGCATTTCTCCACTCCAAGGGAAGCTTGCACCTGGTCCCATCCACTTGCTTCAAGTGTCCCATCTAACTCCTCTCCAGCCTCACTCTTCTCATCTCAATCCACACATCTTTAACTCCACCAGAAGTTGGAAGAGTCTCTTCACCTCCTGCCATCCTGCAAAGGAGTGTGGGAACCACCCATGGGGTCAGCCTTGGGGCCACCCAGCCCAGGTCCTGGCTCCAGTGGGGTCCCCTAAGATACGTTATCACTGTTCCACAGTGAGGATGGCCACATGACAGACTCATTCCCCTTAATAATCCTACACAGATCAATTGTTGAGTTCAGCCAGGCCTCTCAGGAAGGATTTTATATATCCTATCAACACCAGCTCTTGACATAATGAATTCCAGAAGTTTACTACCCTCTGAATGTATTTCAAACAGTTTTCTTCTAAGTGTCGAGGCACAGAAGGAGATTAGCTTCCTGAAAGTAGTGGCTACATGTGGGTTGTGGTCTTGCACCACCACCCCTACCTCGTCCTTCCAGGATCTAAGATCCTCCTTCATAGGAACCAAAAGGCATGGAAAAATTGGTTCAGCCAAGGATCAGATCTCCAAGATCACCCAAAGGGAATCATAAGGCATATGACGACAGGGCACCACTCTGGCTCTTATATTGACCTCTAATGGCTGCCTTCCAGGAAAACTCTGGTTAAGGCAAGTGGCCCCTGTGAGTAGAAGCAAGGACAGAGGCTAGTCCAGGAACCCCAGGGCTGAAGCTTCAGCTGGTCTCAGCAAGACTGCAATGGACAATCAAGAAAACTGAAACCATTCTAGTATTTCAAACACAGGGAATTTAATACAGATGATGGGCCACAATGGGGATGAAAGAGCTAAAAAGCCAAACAGGAATGATGAAGCAACCCCAAAATTAACAACAGCAGGAGGCCAGCGTCCTCCAAGGGCTGCAGGACACAGGGGGGATGATGGTGTTACCAAAACCCAGAAGCCAGGACCATCCAGCCCGAGCTAGGACCACAGCAGAGGCTGCCCAGCAGGAAGCGAGACCATGGAGACAGGTATGTCCAGCAGGGATCTGGAACAGCCATGCAGACTCAGCCATGGCCAGAAATGCCCTCCTCTGCCCACAGCAGAGAGAAGGGGAAATGCCCTGACTTCTCCCTTCCCGCCAGGCTCCAATCTCCTGCCAAAAATAGAAGGCAGTGCCAAGGGGCCTGAGAAACAGCTGCAGGAGAAGGGCAGGCACGGATCTGAAAGCAAGGCACCAAGGGACAGACACACCCCAGTAGTTCATGTACCACCCCCTCTGTTCTCAGAGTTTCATTGCTTTCAATCGTGTCCCTTCTCAACTTCTGTCTGCCCTTCTAGACTGAAAAGGCTGTCCCCACAAGGCAGTCTCTGTGTCCATCCTGTGGGCTCAATTAATTTTACAATTCTCCAGGTACTTATTATGTACCAAATATGTGCCAAGCACCCTGCAGGGCAGTGAGAGGAATTGAACACAGAAAGAAATAAGGTACAATTCCTGTTCTCAAGGAGCTCATGGTCTGAAGGAGGGGAGACAGACAAGAGCACAGCCCTCTATGATAGAAAATAATTTATGTGAGGCCTAAGAAGAAACTGTGCTTGGGACAATGGAAGAAGCCTTCCAGGAAGAAGTGACATCTGAACTGGTCCTTAGATGAGAATTTCACCAAGTAGGAGAAAGGCATCTCAGGTGGATGAAGAGTCTGACCAAAGGTGCCAAGTGGAGGATGGAACATGGTGGCTTGAGGGACAGTGACAAGATGAGGCTGGAGTGGGGAGCGCACGGGGAGAGGATACAGGTAAGACCTGAAGTGTGGACGGAGGTCAGAGGACCTGGAACGCCACACAGCAATGGGGAGCGATCAGAGGGGTTTATCCAGGGGTGTGGCATGAATAGGTTTGTGTTCTAGAAGGATGTCTCTGGCTGCCTATGTGGAGGATGAGTTGGAAGCAGTGAGACCAGAGGCAGGGAGTAGAGTTTTGAGACCTGATTATCACAGGAATCCAGAGAAGAAATGATGAGAAGCAGAGGGGATGGAGAGAAGGGGCAGATGCAGGCTATGGCTCAGGGGCAGATTAGTGCGAAGGATGAAGGAGAGGCAGGTCACCTGACACAGAGCCTTTCAATGGGCCTCTGTAGCTTCAGCATTTTCCCAAGGTGGTGCAGAGACCAGAGTCCTGAGAGTGGGTGCCCCAGAGTTTGGAGAGAGAGAGGGGGGCCTGCCTTTGATGCCCAGTTCCCTGCCTGGTGGGGCCTGACCTTGGGGACGTTTTTGCTGCTGACGCACTTTGGGCACTGACATCAGAGCTCTCTGCATCATACCAGAGCTTACAGGGTTTGAGCCATTTTCCTCTGAGATAGTGCAAAGCAACGTGGAAGAACCCAGAACCGGCTCCTTTAGTTAGTCCAGATGTGGGTAAACAAATACAAATAAGAAATCAACGGAAACAGGGATTCTTTCTCTTCTACCCCTCAGAGAGTATTAATTGAGCCATTCCAGGGGGCTGAGCTTAGAGCCAGGTCTACATTTTCCACCCCTTCTGCACAGTCCTGCACAATTAGAAATCATGCATCTTTTACTGAGCACATACTTTTGCCTGGAATTGTGCAGAACACTGTTAGAAATTGACCAAACACACTCCCTGCCAAATGAATTCACACAGTAAGCCCTTCACAGTCTGGCCCCAACTTGCTTCTCCAGCACCACCTCTTGCCACTTTCCCACCACACACCCTTCACTGTAGTGACATGGGAGGGACTGGAATTCAGAACTTAAAACTCCATAGAAATAGAGTCACAGACGTAGAAAACAAACTTACGGTTACCGGGAATAAGGCGGGGAGGGATAAACTGGGAGATTGGTATTGACATATACACACTACTATATATAAAATAGATAATTAATAAGGACCTACTGTATAGCACAGGGAACTCTACTTAATACTCTGTAATGGCCTATATGGGAAAAGAATCTAAAAAAGAGTGGATTATATGTATATGTATAACTGATTCACTTTGCTGTACACCTGAAACTAACACAACATGGTAAATCAACTATAGTCCAATAAAAATTTAAAACAAAAACAAAATGTATAAGATGAAAAAATAATCAAAACCAAATAACCTCAATAGATACAGATGAGGACTGAGGCATTTAACCCATTTGGCTTCATGCAGAGAGAACCACTCTTCTGGACCAAACTCAGCAGGATCCCTGGTGTCCACAAGAGGCACAGTTATACTGTCAAGGGAGTCCATAATTCAGCAAATATGTGTTAGCCACAGGTCTTGTGCAAGTTTTTTGGCAAAACCCTGAGGAAAAAGGCAAGAAGGTAAAGGACCAATTTGCTCAAGGAAGCCAAGTACTGGTAAAGCCCCAAGAAGCCAGGGACTGGCTTACTATTCATTCAGTCCTCTGTTCAACAAATATATATTGAGCTTCTAGTACATACAACTAATTCACTGCATTAGGTGCTGGAAGTATGGCTGTGTACAAGATAGACATAATCCCTGCTCTTGAAAAAGTAACAGTCCAGGGAGTAGACAGGCAAAATAAAAGATCAGTGGCTTCTCCCTGTAGGTCTTTTACCCGTGGAGTGATACACCTCCCTAGTCTGGGAGAAACGCTGCAGATCAAAAGGCCTTGGTCTGACTGCTCCAGGCCATGCCTCCTTGAGAAAGTGCACCCACCTCATCCGCCCAGGATTCACTGGCCAGCGGGGCCCTGCCCTGTGATCTGACCAACAGTGATCAGAGTAGGAGCCCAGGAGATCCAGAAAGGTCTCCCTGTCTTGGTACCACACTCTTAAACTGCTCTTAATGCTTTCTCTCGTGGCTCTAAGAAGTCCTGTACAGTCTTATTTCTGTTGAACTATCACCACCTGATGGCCAAGGAAAATTTTGTCGGGAAAAGAGAGCCTTGAGTAATGGAGTTTAACGACAAGTTGACATAGCAGATTTGTAGTTTTCTAAGGAGGCTTAGCGAGGCCGTCACAAGGGGCCTCATCAATTCTCTACGCTTAGCCTCAGATGGCAGAGGATTTGGCCTGTTCTTAAAGGCTCCTAGAGGGGAATTCCACACTTACCTCCCATAACTTGTTCCTGCACTTAGCACCTCTCACTGGGCAGAAGTCCTACCCCAGAGCTCATCCCAGATCCTCCTGCCTCAGTTAAAGCCCCTTTGCTTTGATTGACATCCAAGGAGCTGGATACGTACACTCAGAGGTCATCATCTAACCTCTGTATTTCCCAGCTCAAAGCCTCCAGGGGGAGGGAGGAAGTGACAGTCCACTTAATGGAATGGACACAGGTGTGTTCTGAGAGGTTGAGGCCTCCCCCAGTGGTGAGGACCAGAATAAGCTAACCCGCATCCCAGCTGCCTTTTAAAAGCAGCCTTGGGAGTGATGAGCCAATAAGCTTGTTGGAGGTGAATACACTCACCCGTCACCTTTCAACACATCAGCGGAGGCAGCAGGTGGCACAGGGATAAGGACGTGGATTGTGGAGTCTCTCAGGTCTGGTCTCATCTGCAAAACAAGGACAATGACCCCCATCTTAGAAAATTGCTGGGAAGATGAAGTGACCTGGCTCCGCAAAGTGCCTGGCGTGAAGCGGATCCCACTCAATAGATACTGTCATTGGCCCCACTCCCCACTCCCCACTCCCCACTCCCAGGACAGTCGTTAAAAACCTCAATTCAGGGGCTTCCCTGGTGGCGCAGCGGTTGAGAGTCCGCCTGCCGATGCAGGGGATGCGGGTTCGTGCCCCGGTCTGGGAAGATCCCACATGCCGCGGAGCGGCTGGGCCCGTGAGCCATGGCCGCTGAGCCTGCGAGTCCGGAGCCTGTGCTCCACAACGGGAGAGGCCGCAACAGTGAGAGGCCCGTGTACCGCAAAAAAAAAAAAAAAAAAAAAGAACTCAATTCAACCACTTTATGTACTCACAGGCCATCTTGTTCTGGAAGGACTCGTTGTACAAATTTATATCCATATAGAGATATAAAGTAAAACAGAATTGCATGAAGTTGCTACATATATCAAGCAAAGTTAAAATGGGGACAGGGAGGAGATAAAATGAAATGAAAAGTGAAGGTGGTACATGAAGCATGTGCTTTAACATTATATTTTGTATATGTTTTTAAGAGATGGACCAAATGCTTCACTTAAAAACTTCCCAGAGTGGGCTTCCCTGGTGGCACAGTGGTTGAGAGTCCGCCTGCCGATGCAGGGGACACGGGTTCGTGCCCCGGTCTGGGAAGATCCCACATGCCGCGGAGCGGCTGGGCCCGTGAGCCATGGCCGCTGAGCCTGCGCGTCCGGAGCCTGTGCTCCGCAACGGGAGACGCCACAACAGTGAGAGGCCCGCGTACCGCAAAAAAAAAAAAAAAAAAAAAACTTCCCGGAGGACAAACCAAAGAGGCACTATGGCCAGTTGCTAGATGAAGTGCTTGAAAGAGAAAAAATAAGTGAGTTCCCAAGAAAAGCACACTTCTGAACCAAAATTTTAAAATATGTATTCCCTTCAATCCAGAAATTTCTTTTCTAGCAATCTATCCCTTAGAGGTACTCACAGGGGTGCACAAAAACATACATGTGTAGAAAGCAAAATGCAAATGAAAACGAACTAAATTTCCATCACATTGGACTGATTAAATCAATTATTCCAAACCAACTACGAAACAGAAAAAGAATGACAGATCCATATGTCCTAATATGGAAGGAACTGCAAAATAGTTTAAGAGAAAAAGAATCAACTTGCAAACAAATTATGTCCTATACATGTAGTTTGTAGAGAAGTGTATCTTCACTCATGTCAAGATGCTAACACTGGTTACCCCTGGGGAGTAGATGGGATGATGGGGAAAGTTATAGGGACATTTTTACTTTTTAACTCTACATATGTCCACATTTTGTTTTTGTAATCTTAATAGTTTAACTTAAAGAAAAAGGGGGAAATGTCATTTCTGAAGTAACAGGTAATTAGATATCAGTATTATATCAATGTTAAATATCCTGAATTTGATCATCATACTATGGTTATATAAGAAAATGTCCTTTGCTTGTTCTTAGCAGATACTTGCTGAAGTCGTTTGAGGTAAAAGGCCATGACATCTGCAACTTATTCATAAATAATCAGTTAAAAATAATTTAAAAATAAAATAATAGTAAGTGTACAGAGAGAGTTAGAAAGCCAATATGGCATACAGTTAATCATTAGGGGAATCTAGCTAAAGGTTATAGGGGATTTCACTGTACTACTCTTGCAATTTTTCTGTAAGTTTGAAATGTTTTCAAAGTAAAAAGTGTCCCTAGAAAGTTATGCATGGTTTCTTACTCCTAGGGTGGAGACTTTGATGTGTCTTGCCTGGGTTCTATGAGGATCCCATTGTGGATTCTTTTACACGTGTAAGACAGGCACGAATCATCACCCTTGGCTGAGCCTTAAATGAGGTTACTCAGAGTGAGAGAGTGTGTTCTTTGTAAATGATGTAAGTAGACTGTGTCCTTTGAAGAACTATGCCTGCAGGTTACCTTAGAGAAGTGGGTTGGATTTTTTTCCTAAATCTAAATCTGTAATAAGAATACTTTGTACCTATAGAGTATCGTTGGCTCTTTGAAGATGGCAATGGGGGTGTACAGTAAGTGCCCCACATACGAATGAGTTCAGTTCCAAGAGCGTGTTTGTAAGTCCAATTTGTTTGTGAGCGTGTTTGTAAGTCCAATTTGTTTGAAAGTCCAACAGAGTTAGCCTAGGTACCCAACTAACACAATCGGCTATATAGGACTGTACTGTAATAGGTTTATAATACTTCTCACACAAATAATACATTAAAAACAAACACAAAAAATAAACCATTTTTAATCTTACAGCGCAGTACCTTGAAAAGGACAGTAGTGCAGTACGACAGCTGGCATACAGGGGCTGGCATCGAGTGAACAGGCAACAAGAGCTACTGACTGGAGGAGGGAGAGGAGGTGGGAGATGGTAGAGCTGAAGGATCGTCAGCAATGGAGATGGAGGGCGAGCTGCACAACCACTTGTGGAGGATGCACGCACGTGACAGTGTACTCCAGACACATGAACTAACTTACGTGACTGGACAGTCGAATGCACGTTCGATCTTTGAAAGTTCGCAACTTGAAGGTTCGTATGTAGGGGACTTACTGTATGTATTCTTGTCAAAGTTCGCGGGAAATTAAAAGCAGACCATGGTAGGATGGACACCAAGTCCTGATATTTCACATTGAGGGAGAGATTAGAAGAAGGAAGGTCAGGAGGGAAACCTGATGGACTAGATTATATTTTTTAACAAATGATTTTACTGATTGGTGTTCAGTGCCCAGTTTTATCTAAGCCTGTAATACTCAGACTTCTGGGAAATGAATTGTCAGACTGTTGGGATGGCCTTATTGGACCAACCACACATCTGAAGGGAAGAGGATTTCCATATCAATCATCCTGGAAGGAGGTTAATCCTGGGGCCTGTGTTGGGAGGGGAGTGGACTTGGGGAGGGAGGGGGGAATTTGTTCTCTTTCTGTGGGTCTGAAGCCAGATTGACCTGGTATGGAGGTAACTGGAGAATTTTAGGGTGGAGAAGAGTCTGCCAGTGTCAGATGGAGACCAGCCGGAGCTACAAAGGCTGCCAGCTGGGAAAGGGGCACCAAAGGCAGCCCTAACCTGCAGGTCCTGGGAACAGTGTCGGCAGCTGTCACTGTAGGTGACCCACTGCTGTAGTTACTTGCCTTTATCCTGATCCTTCAGGAGGGTCTCGCTCAAAGTCATATCTTCCAATCTTGGTCTTGGCTGTGCCAGGGAGAATTGGGGAGGGCCTGTTCCGCATTTCAAGAGAGGCCAGGAAAAGAGCAGGGCCCACAGAATTGGTGGATCAGAGAAGACACCTGGGCCCAGCATCTCAGAGGAACAGAGACAGCATCTCAGACCACAGAAGCAACACAGGGTAGTAAGACAGGAGGTCAGGAAGGAAACTGAGGGCCAATTTCACAATCCCCGTGGGGCAACACCTGGAACACTCTCAGACATAGCTGGGAGCTGGGAAATTTTAGGGAGGCCAATTTCCAGAAGTTATCTGGGTTTGGGTTCAAGTCATAATAATTTGAATATAAAAAAGAAACATCACTTTACCCTAGTGGGGTGTGAGACGTATCATTACCCTCACATGGTAAGTCTTAATAGAAACTAGCATTATTTTAATAAAGTGGGGTTTTTAACGTGCTCCTAAAAGGCCATGAAGCATCAGGAAGGAGCAAAGACCCAAAGCAGCAGAAACAGATAACTGAAAATTCAGACCTCAGAGGGAGAGCACCTCTGGGTCCTCTGTTAACCAAACAGGACAGTGTCTCAATGCACAGAAAGTATTTGAGCGCCATCTAATGGCCAGAGTGAGCAGCTGCTTAGAAAGATAAAGAGGAACTATCAATAGATGAGCATTCCATACATGCAGCCTCTAGTGCGCTGACAGAGTGGACCAGGCACTTTCTTAGGCACAAAAGTGAACAAAGTAGTCTGAGTCTGTCTTCGGGGGGCTAACAGTCTATCGGCAGGTGAGGGTGCCAGAAAATAAGCAAATAAACAAATCTATGGGACTTCCCTGGTGGCGCAGTGGTCCAATGCAGGGGACACGGGTTCAATCCCTGGTCCAGGGAGATCCCACATGCCGCAGAGCAACTAAGCCCGTGAGCCACAATTACTGAGCCTGCGCTCTAGAGCCCACGTGCCACAACTACTGAAGCCCATGCACCAAGAGCCCATGCTCTGCAACAAGAGAAGCCACCATGAGAAGCCCACGCACCACAACAAAGAGTAGCGCCCCCCCGCCCCGCTCGCCACAACTAGAGAAAGCCCGCACGCAGCAACGAAGACCCAATGCAGCCAAAAAATAAATAAATAAAAGGATTAAAAAAAATCTATGAGGTCAGGTGGTGAAAAGTGTTGTGCAGAAAAATAAAGTTGGGTAAGGGATCGGGGGCAGGGTAGGTGCTGCTTTATAGGAGGCGAGGAAACATTAGCCTCTGGTTCTCTGGAGGAAATCATTCCAAGAGGACGGAAAAGCCAGTGCAAAGGCCCTGTGGTGAGAGTGTACTCTGTGCGTTCAAGGAACAGAAAGGAGACTAGACGGGGCTGAGACAGAGGGAGGGAAGGGGACAGAGGTAGGAGATAAAGCCAGAGAGATATCAGAGCCCAGATCATCTGAGGCCTCATGAGTCATGGGGGGATCTCTGGCTTTTACTCAGAGTGAAATGGTGAGTACTGGAAAGTTTTGCGCAGAGAAAGCGTGGAGTCCTAACCAGTGGACCACCAGGGAAGTCCCTGGCTGGTTTTGACTGAGAGTAGACAGTAAAGGGGTAACGTCAGAGTCAGGGAGTAGGGGGCGTTAGGAGGCTACACAGTGATCTGGGTATGAGATGACGGTGGGCTGGACCAGGGTGGTATCAGCAGGGCTTGATGACAGATTCGATGCATGTTTTGAGAGAAAGAGAGGAGTCGAAGAGGACACCAGTGTTTTAT